ACTGACTTTGTTCCTCTTCTTTAGAGGAAAGTACTTCTGTGTTTAGAAGAGTAGCAGCCATATCACAGCATTAGCCATGATTCCATCACTGAAGGACACCCCCTGCCCATTGGAACATAATCCCTGGCTTATACAGTATGTATAAAGCAGGCCTAAATAGCATCCTCAGTTACAAATGGGGAAACTGAGGATGCGAAAGAAACAAGCTACTCAAAAAACAGGATTTTTCTTGTCCATCAAACTCTAGTATTTTGTAGCAAAGAAAAGGTTGAGAGACAATAAATTACCTAAACATATTGTCATGTTTATGTATCCAAATCAGTGAGAACAGTATGGGTGAATTAGTCCTGTATATCAGAAATATGACAATAGAGATTTGTCTCAATCACTTTAATGCTACTTCTTATTTTCTCTCCATTCCCACTTTGGCTCATCCTGACATCCTATGCAAGCTGAATTTGAAGAAAGAATATGCAAGTTTGACAGTCATAATGTGAAGACACTGAATGCCAACCACTACAAAAAGTCAGTGCCTATGAAAAATTCTGAGTTTATTCACTTTTTACCCATTTCCCTGTTTAACCAGACCAGTGACAATGGAAACACCACACCTGATGTGACAAGAACAGGTTGTCTCAAAATGCATAGTCCTCTGGATGAAGGATTCCTTTTTCCTTATTCTCTTGTCTTCATGAATTACTTGCCTTTGATCCTAAGGAAGCAGATAATGGTTCTTTTTGAATAAGGACAAACTGATAGTAACAGACCTTTCAGTTCATAGGAGGGTTTTTCTTTGTTTTCAAGTCAAAACCCACTGGCTTGGTTCCAGCCAGCTGTCTTGAGTTAGTTTCTGGATGTAGTTCTGGAGCAGGGTTTTAGAACTGCATCCAGCATTGTTTAGTTGATGAGGATTTGTCCTTCTGAGCTGTGGAGAGAAGACATACTGAACAATAAGCAGAGCTAAAGGCCAAGTGCTTCATATGCTTCATATGCTATGTAGCTCAACCCTTCTATGCATCTGCTGTTTTTGCAAACAAAAAAATCTGTAGTTAGTCTCCTCTAGCCTCCATATTATCTGTCTCCCTCAAAGCAAAAAAAAAAAAGGCTATTGTCTATATCATCCTGTTTGAGTGTGACCGATCACATTTCTTCTGTAATGATGGGGCTCTTCACTGCTTCTCTGACCCTAGCCTAGTAGTTCTTACCAGCAGAAAATTTGCTTGATATTCTTCCTCATTCTTCAGTTGGCCTAGATATATTCAGAAGTTTTATTTAAAGCCCTTCTTCAGGCCATCTCCCATTATGTTACCAACTTCATTGCACTTTGTGCAAGTTCTTCTCCACTGTAAACTTCTTCAGCAGTGCAATGGGACTGGTATCTGTCGTATGGGGGTTGTTTTCTTTCTTTCCCTCCACATTCCTTCCTGCAGTCATCTTCCTGTGAAATTAAGCACACATGCAGTCAGATTCTCAAAGCTAGATCCTGTTCTGAAGGGATGGCTGCTTTGAGGCTGAACAGAACACATCCTAGCTCACTACTGCTGCTGCTGAGAATGGCTTGTGCTGGGCATCCAGGCTCTGGAGAGGGAGTCCAGCCCTTCTGATTTCAATGGGAAGTTGGCTTTCTTCTCTAGTGAAAGCGTAGTTTCCACACTGAAAACACGCCTCCCTTCATCTACGCAAGTGAATACTGGGGTCTTGCCTCTTAATTTGGCTACCAAAGCCTTTCAGTTTTGCTTACTTCTCACTTTGAAGTTCCTTTTTGTTCCTCAGTTGCCATTAAGAAATGCACCATTTTGATGGCTCTGCAGAAGAGGAGCCACAAAAGGATTAAATGACTTGTCATTTAACTCATAGTTGAGTGGGGATTGCAACTATGGGGCTAGTGCCCTCCTTTCCTGTATAGTCACTCTGCAGTCTGTACTGTGATGACTTCATTCACCAAAACATAGTCATGGACAAAGAACGGACTCTGCAAAAACAGACCCTTATCTGCTCTCTGCCTGCCTCTTGTCCAAGTCATGTGCGATTAGTTTACTGACACAAACACCCCTCTGGAGCCAAAGCAGCTGCACTAGCAAGCTGTGCTCTGATACAGTTCATGCCTTTACAGCAGTGTAACAGCAGTAGCTACAGTCCAGCTGAGTCCAGGAGCTTCACTGTTTATAGAGCTGGAAGAGGCCAACAGGCTTCATTGCAAGGTATCCAGTAGACCTGGCTGAACTGGCAATTAAAAAAGCACCAACTCTGATTTGTAATGATAAATGGAGTGAGTATGACATAAAAATGATGTGGAGGAAACAAATGCAGCATAAGGAAATGTCATTTCCAGGAGATGTTTTTCCTTCTCTTCTTTGTTGATAGGAGATAAAGGTGTTCAAATACTTGGGATACAGAGACCAGGAGTAAATGGCAGCAGAGCCTCTTGACGCCAATTAAGTATCTTTTGAAGAATTATTCCTGTGAAAAATAAAAGTAGAGGAGGCCTGAGATCAACAGGTCTGCGCTGTGGATGTTTAAGCAAGAATGGAGCTCTGCAGCTGTCCTTCCCTCAGCGGAGCACTATTGGACTGAATTCACTCTACACCACTCTTCCTTCTACTAACAACCGCAGGGATTTGTTTTATTGGAGGTCTCTCATCCTCTGTCAAATTTGGTGGAATTTGGCCACCAGGCAGGCAGACAGCCACGCGCACACGTCTCCGACCGTGTCGGTTTGTAGGGCTGCTTCCCTTGAGCAGAGAGGCTCAAAGCAGCAGCTTGCTTGGCCTTGGCGCTGTCGGCGTTCGGTGCTGCTGGAAGAGGGGCAGGGAAATGAAGCCCTTTGCACCGAGCGCTGCTACGAGCTCCACTGCTCCCAAAGAAGCGGCAGCAGCTCTCCCAGCACCAAGTGTTTTGGTTCTGGTTCTAAATCCTGAGTCCACGTTTTTCCCAATTTTAGCTACAGAGAGATCATTCCAGACAGTTAGGCTGCTACAAGAGTGTTTGGTGCTAATTAACCTAAGAAAAAAATCCCCTTTTTGTCTTAATCTACAGTAATGATGTTATAGATACACTTTTTTTGATGCTGCATCTTTTTACCTGATAGTACAGTCAGATGACTAAGATGTTGCCATGACATTTTTTTTTCTAGTTTTTCACTTCACTTTCTTGTATTTATAATGAATCCTTGAAAACTGAGCCTGAAATCTACTTCCCATTACCTGGATGCTTAGCACTTACGCTGGATTATGACCTACTGCGTAAAATGTTAGTCACTGCTGACTTTTCTTTTTACAAGAAAAATGCTTTAGCTGGAAAAACCTTCAAAATAATTTATTTATATTCAAAGGGCAATTCATGAAAAAGCTTGATGCAGTAAACAAATCACTAACCTTCGTTGGGAACAGGAGATATGTATTATGCTAGGGCAGTTGAAACTTCTGCAAGCAGAGATTCACTGTTGCACATAGCCTGTAAACTGGAAAGCAGTGATGAAAGCAGGGCCTGGAGTGTGTGACATAGGAGCCCCTGGGTTTGCTGATGAGTCACAGCGTCAACAAGTCACTGAGGCCCCGGCCCTTTCATTCAACTTCGAGCACTTAAACAAAGTGTTTAAGGTAGTAGACTGGGCTCCCTCACTAATTAACTTAGTGAGGCAAAAGCTCCTCCACAAGGAGTTAAAGAATGGCCTAAGTCACTGTGTCTCTTTACTGCACATGGAAGTCCAAACTCCAAAGTTCTGTGATGCTCCTGATTTGCAGAGCACTGAGGTGCACATACTTAGCAGATTCAATCAACAATTTAGGATCATATTTTGTAGGTCATAGTGATCTCTCAGAGTCCTGGAAATTGCCAGCTGCATTTGAGAAGCCCAATGCCCTCTTGTTTGTGCATCCTGCATTTTTACCAGTACAACACACCTAAATAAACATTGACGACTTGCCAGGAAGGGACACCCATCAGTCATATGGTCCATCCACCCATGTGGTCTGTCCATCTGCATACACAGATCCTGGCAGACACTGCTCAGCCTGTTCTTCAAACTGTAAAGGATGAAAATTCTACTCCATTCCTAGGCAATCTAGTCCAGAGTTCAACCATCTCTGCTGATAAAACATGTTTCTAATGTTCAACTTAAACACCTCTTTTTGCAGTTTATGCCCCTTCATCCTTGTCCTATACCCAGGGGATGAAAAGTTTGCTCCTTTCTTCTTTACAGGAACTTTTTACATAATGGAAGACTGTCATCATGTGCCCCCTTAGTCTCAAGTGAACAAACCCAGTTTATTCAGTCTTTCCTCTTGAATCACAGTGGCCTCTGATCACTCTTGCTGCCTGCTTTGGGGATCCTTCCACTAGGTTTACATATTTCTAGAAGTTGGCACCCAAATCTGGATACAGGCATTGCCAATAGAATGATGTCAGGCATTGATTTTTTAGGCCCTGAATAGAGTTGAGAGATTATTTTATATCTCACATGCAACACTCCTGATTCTGAAGCATGTGGAATAGTGGTCACCACCCTCCAAACCCCTTACAGCATGTCTGGATTATTGGACCTTTTTACTGACAGAGAAACAAAAGCCCCAGCACGAAAGACCACAGAAAGGCTACTTCAATGTATGGTAACTAATGCCAAGAATAATAAGAGGAGGAAGTGAGAACATGGTAAAATGAGAAAAATAAATCACTAGTGGAATCAGAAGGCAGGAATACAACAGGCTGAATATGGAGTGAGGGACTGAGGCTGAGTCCTGGCCCTAGTTTTACAGCAGTGCTTCTGGTGCCAGCTGCAAAGTCACTTAAGCTGTTTGTCACTTTTATATTCCCTCCTAACTGCCAACTAGGCAGCCCGTTAGCTCTGGTGTGGGGCTCTTGTTCCAGCAGGTGCTCGAGCTGCTGCTACTCCTGCCTCAGACAACTGAACTGCTCTGTGACACAGCTCAGAGCAGCAACGGAGCCGGGGAATTTCAAGAGCAACGTCCCCTCCTCAACCCTTTCTCCAGAAGCATGTGGAAATGAACCTGTGATTTCAGAAACAGCAGAACGAGAGCTGCTGTGAAATAACTAGCTGCCCAAGTATTCATATTAAAAGCATTCTCATGCCTTCTAGAAAAGACTTTCCTGCATTTGAGGCTCATCAGTCAGAGAACAAAAGCAACGTCACATGATTTGGTTTATAATGATTTATGAGTTCTATAAACCAGCAAATGATGAAGAGCAAATACTTGGAGAAATTAGAAAGGCAAAGAGCTTGCAAAGAGCCTGAAATATGTTTGCATAAACAAATTCCTCAGATCATTAAGAGTGATTAACGTGTAAAAAACAAAACTCATTCCTGGACAGACTGCAGAATAAAGGGATAAATAAATCATTAGGAACAAAGTGCTTGCTGAGTGAGAACAACTAAGCTAACCATGAGTTTAGCAGTTTCGGAGCTAGAGGCTGCACTGAGTGGTCTGTGGTTACTGTCAAGAACAGCTTGAATACAAAGGTCTCCCTCAAAGCTGTGCTATTTAAAACATGCTATTTAAAACAGTAACATTATTCTGTCTACAGGAGACTTTTCAGCTGAGGACTGCAAAGTGGCTCACAGTTATTAAGCTTCAGTAAAGCCCTGTGAGGGCAGAGAGAGTATTGCTTTTATGCAATTATGGAATTGTTACTAATACCTTACAAAATTATTGACAGATGTAGGTTTCGGCTACTCACATGTAAGGAGCTATAAGTATACATTTTAATAGCGGGTGGAGCCAACTTAAAAAGAAAAAGTTAATCTCCCTTTTAGCCCAAAGGTGTTATGTGTAAACAGCAGGTATATCAGGAATTACTTATAGGTGTCACTTGGTTATAAATGTATTTGGTTTGAAGCCATAGCATGGTATTTGTAAATTATTAAGTGTCTCACTAATTGAACAGGAGGGGGAAAACAAAGTATAGTTAAGCTGAACTGAAAATTAGGCCCTTGAAATAAAATTTGATAAAACTCAAGGATGACTTTGTTTCACCAGCATGTGAACAAAGCTAGAGCAGCCTGTGTCTGGCAGAGCAGGGCTCTCTGCTACAGAGCAGATCCCAGTGAAAAGGGTGATATAAGACCCCCAGCCCAGCACCAGTGCTCGTTCCTCCTTTTCCCTTTTCCCATCTCTCTTGTATGGTCCTCGAGTCCTTTCAGCCTGAGGATTTGGAGCAGGGGCAATTTCTGTGCAGTCTATGGCTGTACCAGCCTGAGTTTTCCCTTTGTAGGTATTTTCCCTTTGTAGGTATTTATCAGAGCCTCTCCTGGGATATCTGATAGGGGAGAACCACAAAAGCTTCCCCAAAGGATTCCAAAATAAATAACTCCGTATTTTATACATCAGAAAGATGCTCAATCTAAGGAAAAACACTGAAGTAACAATGTATCTCCATGTCTTTATTTTTGGATTTGCTATTAGAGACTTGCTATTACTTGCTGCCTTTACAAATATGTAAGCAAAATGGTGAACAGCTAAGCAATTTCCTACCATCTCAGCATGATTTTATGACAGACAAAAAAAAAAAAAAAAAAAACCACCACGGCATGGCCCATGCTATTGAAACTATTGAAGAGCAAAATGTCTGTAGGCAACAAATAGCTTAATGGACAGTACCAAGGCCATGGAGAAATGGTCGATGGGTTTCTCCTAGATAGTAAGAGATGGCAAGTACATTACATTAAGCATCGACTCTGACTCATTCATTCAGGGCAGCACTTAACAGTTGGATCATAGAAATGTTCTGTCTTTTATAACAACCCCTTCAGACCTGAACAAACAAATAATACATTGATAAAATGATCTACTAGTCATATCCTAAGTGTTTTTTACTTCTTTCGTATCACAATAAGCCAGGATTTTACTTTGGTTTTTATTAGTTGATTGGGGTGAATCTCTGAATTCATTTCTCCTTCAACTCTAGGTTGTTGCCTGGATACTTGGAATTTTATTGTCTGTTAGAAATCTGCAGGTTTATAATCATTGCTATGACAAAGAAGATACATATGCACAGAGGGTCGTGTTCCTATCTCTTATTAACACCACAAGCTAGAGTCTGGTCCATGGCTCTGTCCAAGAGTTGAGTCTTTACTCCAATAACTAGAGCTAGTTGAACAGACTTTGCAATTCTGAACACCAATTTTTTACTTAATCCTCAAAGGAGCTAATGCTAGACCTCTTCACAAAGTAAACATCATTCTAATTTTACATGGTTACTGAGCCAGACAGAGACAAAGTGCTGTATTACAGGTGCATTTTAGTGAATATAAAATGATGCTGAACCACGTAAGTCCTTTCACTCACTTCACATTAATTTCATTATATTTTACGTATCTTGTCAGGTTAGGTATGAGGCTTGAAGCTTTCTTCTTTTTTAATGTCAAATAACAGGAACATCACTTGGCTCTGCATGTCCCATGTTGGCAGTGCTCAACATGTGTGTTCTCTTTTAGCCAATCCTATAATTACTTGCACTAAATAAAAGCAGTCAGTGGCACCCACACTCTATGGAGGGCACATCCCTCACTACTTCAAAGCAGCATTATTTTATTTGGTGGTTAGTAAAGATAGTATCCACTTGAGTATATGACATGGCAAGTTAATGTTGTGTGTTTGATAGCTAACTGGGAGACATGCAAGGTTACAGATGGATGCTAATGGGCAGCAATTATTGATTATGAAATATCAAGGCTTATTTTTCACCCTTAATGCAAAAAAAAAAAAAAAGGCTTCAAATGTTTTAAGACACCTTACAAGAATTGTCACTTAGTGAAACCTTGTGGCTGACTGTTATGAAATTCCTGAAAGACAAACAGATTTGAAAAAAAATAAAACAGAACAAAAACAACAACAGCAAAAAAACTAACATCCAACTCAGAATTCCCCAAAAGCTTCAAAAGGCACTTTTACTGCAGCCAGTAAAGAACGACCATCCATTTTTTTCACATGTTGTAATTTAGTCTCAGCTATGCAGAGCTCCTTCCCAGGGCACCTCCTTAAGTTAGAATGAGCTGCAATTGACTTATCTGGCTTAAAAAACAATCCAAAATATTTTTTCTCCCAGCGGGAGCCCTAATCCATTTCTCTAAAGAGTCCAAAGCCCTGATCCTACATCTAAAGATGCCCAGCCAACAACACTGGGCTGTCCAGACATCAAAACCACCCTGAGCACCCTCCGTCGCAGCCAGCTGGAGCTCAGCTCCTCACCCGCTCTGCTCAAGTCAGGCCTTTCGCCATCCAGAACATATAGAGCTGCTTGTAAAGGATTAGCTCCCTGTTCCAATTAAAACATCAGCTTATATTTCCTGAAAGAAGCAACTTTCATCTTACAGATGGGTAAGTTAAGATATGGAAAAATGAAGCAACTGCTTGCAGCAAATGTGTGTTGAAGCAGGAACAGGCTAGAATAAAGTCTCAGAGGACTCTCAGTCATCACTTCTCTGCTCTAATCTTTCAGCTGCATTCTCTCTGTATAAACAAAAACTCCAACTACTGCAATGTTTTCTGGTTTGTCTTAAATGTTCCACCACCCCTCTCACAGAAATTGCTGATGCTTAGAAAAGAGGCAGTTTGGGATTTTCTCACAGTGCAAGTGTTTCTGTCTGGGATTCTGGACGTCAAGAAAGAAGAGGTGCAGACAGTGAGACTTGGCATCTTGAGCAATTAAAGGCAAACTTTAGCTATAATCTGAATTAATCAGCCTCTTTATTGATCTAGATTAATACTAGCCCAGATTGAAACATAAACTGTTCTATCAAATACTTCTAGGGGATTAATTCAGTGAAGGGTGCATTAGTAGCAAAAGGAACCCTGCTTCCAGAAATGCCAAACCCAGTTTGTTTGTAGCAAAGTTTGGTCATTGCCTTTTTCCCGGGGAAAATTCAGTCCCATGGGATGAATAGTAACATAGTGGTAAAACCACCGCGTGGCTTAGGACATCAATCCAGGGACTGATCCATCACACAAATACAAGTGTCTGAGAAAGATGGAATAAGAGTTTCTTCTTAGATGCTGAGGAACTGAGTTACAGATCTCCTCTCGGATATATGGCGTGGGGTCTGCATGGAGGGAATTTTGGAAACTATCAGCTGGATTGACAAAGAGCAAGCTCCTCGGTATGTGTAAACTGGTGTAAGTCCCTTAGATTTTTATACCTTAAATAAATATATCTGGCATGAGCCAGAAATTTTACTCATAGTCCAAACTTCTTCTGCACATACAAACCCAAACCCATGTTCTAAAAGAGATGTATTTCCAGACTAAAGTCAGTCCCTTCCCTTGCTGTCCTAATGAGACCTCAGTCAAGGGCCCTTCATTTAAGCTGTGGATAGGATTAAAAAAGCACCACAGTTTTGTGGAATATAGGGAAAATAGAGACTTGAACTCAATCCTATGGAGAAAAAATAAAAGATCTTCAAAATTTTACCCCTAAAGAGCACAAGAATAAAAAAAAAAAGTCCACAGTCCATTCTAGAAGGACTGAATGGAGCTGAACTCAGTGATCAAACTCAGCCTTTTCCTGAGGCTTGACTTTTCCAAAACAGCACGACACGGATTTCAGAGCACAAAGAGGCTTCCCACTTGGGAGTTCTCTTTTTCTCAGTATACAACAGAAAGACAGGCCAAAAGACAGAGAATCATTGCACCTTTTATCAGTTTTTTATCAGTTGGAGGGAATTAATGCTTGTAAGAGGGTCCTTTCATGAAAACCTGCTCTAAACAACAGCCGTGTTAGCACTGCGGGGTCAGTGCATCAGGATTTATCCATGTGCATTCGGCTTGATTCGGAGCTTTTCCAACTGTTGGCATGGTAGGTCCTGAACATGCAAACCAAGGTACCAACTACAGCTCAGAAGTCATCAGGACTTAAGTCATGGACATTCAACAGCTTGGATGCACCAAGTCACATACTGCTGCCCTGTGTATGTTGTATAATCATGGAGCCAACACTCAGTGTAGGCCTGGACGCTTCTCCTATGGACGCTTCTCTAGTTCCATACATTTGTTTTGTATTTCCATCGCATTGTTTGGCTGCAGGCAAGTGTATACAGTGTTTGGCACACTGTCACACGTAATCAAGAGATAATGTCAGTGGAATTGCGTGTTGTCACAGGATAACGGTCTCCCGCTGTTACAGAAATGCCAAATTGAAGCCGAGGCATTTATGGAAAATAAATGCCAAGTCAAAGCCAAGATGTTTATTTTAAAAACAAGAGACATGGATCTTATGGCAGTGTTCCATCATGTCTCTATTTCTCTAATAACAAATGTCTGATGTGAATATAGCCCAGTGACAGTTTCTTCATGGGACAAAACAGAGGGTGAAGCCTGATCGCTTTGCAGAAAGACTTGAAAAGTTGATTCTCTGCTGCTTTCCTTCAGGTTTTAGTGAAAATGTTTAGATAACCAACACAAAATGGTTTCTCAGATGTATGCCGAGTTTACAAAGGGATTTAGGAGGACAGCAAGAAGAAAAAAATGGCAGCAAATGCATTTTTAATTTGCCTTTACATAGTTCTGGTTCTCCAGAGAAAGAAGAATGACAACAGTGCATAACTCCCCGAAATCAACACGAGACCTTCCAAGCATTTCAGTGGACTCTGACTAATGCTTAAGAGAACAAACAGTTGATATTTAAGTTTATATTAAACGAATAACAGTAACGCCTGATTTTGCTTGCAGTGAGGTCATGGCTGGGCAGCGATGACACGATCCTGCCAGGTCACGACGGGCTGGCTCAGTCCCACCTTGTGCGGGACAGGCAGATATTGAGTCCTGCTGGTGGCCACCTCTGCTCTGTCCCTACAAGCCCAGCAGCCAGGGACGAACTCCACATCTCCAGTAAATCTGCCTTAAACCCAGCTGGTTATCCAGCAGCAACACTCAGTGAGATGATTTTTCCTTGCACTAGGAAAACTGAAGGATACCTGGTATGACTCAAGTTGCTGAGATATGGTAGGAGACCATGATAATGCTAAAAATAAGAGCTGGAAATGTCCAGATCTTACAGATGGTGCAGTTTGATCCAAAGCTGAAAATTTAAGTTTTGTCAAATCTAGCTATAAAGGCTGGAGTAATGAGACATCCACTGCTACTTCTAGCAACCTAATGGGTTTGACATCATAAAAGTTCCTTCAGATATTTATACCAAATTTTCCCTTTCATCATATTACCCCTCATTAAATCTTCTTGTATTCCTCTAAATTACTCCTCTTACTCCCTCACAATTCTTTCTTCCTGCTACTACATTAAGAGTTTACAATGTCATCAATAAGCTAAAATAGTCTCTTCAGTCTCCTCATTAACTCCACCATCCTTCTATCCTTAATTCTATGGACATTCATCACCTCTCTTTGTGCAACTTCCTTGTCCTATCAAGATACGGAGCTCAAAATCCCCAGAAACCCACTGGTCTGTCCATAGAACATGGACTTGTCCCCAACACTCTCCCTGAAAGGGGTTAATCCTGCAGTTATTATCTGGCTGCTCTATCTGTAAGAACCAGAGGGATTTCTGTACAAAAACTGCAGATGCACTTATTTTTTCCTTTGGAGATGCATTGTTTCCCAAAGCCATTCTTGCTCCAGCTCTGATCTGGCATTGCAGATTAGTGTGTGTTGAACAAAAAAGATACTGGGAAGCAATGCTTTATTATGTGTCTTCTGTTTTTCTGCATGGTACACAGTATCTTCCTTTATTTCTCCAATCTTTAAGCTTATACTGCCTTGCAAAGTATTTAGATGTCGTCATCTGACAAGACAGGTTGACAGGCAAAGAGCTGGCATGTTGTAGCATTTATTAACTGTGTAGGTAGCAGCAAAAGGTCTGAACACATGGTGGATGGATGAAGCTGCAAGATTAGTGAGATGATAGTCCTAACTGCTTCCCACCACCAGTGTCATCTTGGGAAAGACATTTAAGATTTTACCAGATTTAAACCTGGCTGGTTTTGCACTAAAATGGACCACACGCCTTCACAAAATCCATCAGAGTATCTGCCAAATAGGAAGGCCTCGGGGTAGGAATGGACAGCAGAGCTGGTAACTGCTTTACCTATTCCACAGAGCTCTGTGGGAGAAAATGGTTCTGTCCCAAAGCTCCACTCTTCTACAGTGGTTTCTATCCCCGTGACCAGGCTGCTGAGGATCAGGCTCAACTGGCACCATGATAGACAAGTATCTCCAGCCACATCCTTTAGGATAAGGCCTCCTTTTGCTGATGGAGACACCAGGGCTCCCTCCCTGCCCATCCAAATGGGTTACACAATGGTGCATCTGACAGAAAGCAGCAAAATTCATGGGAACGTGCGGGAATAGTTTGCCAAGCGGCAGGTCCAAGCCTGTGCGTGGCCTTTAGTCAGGGTTAAGTAAATAGTGTGTAAATAAATAAATAAATCACTGCCAGGTCGCGACCTTGTAAATCAAGTATGAGCCTGGAAGGGATTTTTATGACCCAGCTGGAGCAATGGAGCAGCCTGAGCAGAATAAATATATATGGGGGAAAAAATAACCATTCCTCCGAGTTGCTCCTGGACTGCTGTGGGGAACGTTCGGCACTGCTGCAAGACATGCTGGGGATTAAAAAAGGCAGAGAGGGGACCTGGCTCTCATTTAGTCGGCAGCTGTTTTATATTATTTTAAGAGTTTTCAAAGAGGAGTAAAAACATTTAAATCCACCCAAGAGTAATAATGTTCTGGCTGAACGAAGGGCTGAGCAAGTGAAGGCGCATGCAGAGCTACTGCGCGAGCCGGTGACGGCGGCAGGGGTGGCAGCGGGACAGGGACGGGAGCCTCCGGCGTGGACACCATCATTTGCGCGCTTTAATCGTCATTAACAAACAACAACAGCGATAACTGCGGCCGCCTGCGGGTTGAGCGGTGCCGCACAGCGCGGGTAGAAGTTTGGGGTCGCGCTTCAGCAAGAGCAGAGAGACCTGGTGGGCAGCC